ATTCAATACCCTCACTTGCCTCTGGTTGAAGTGAAATTATATCAAATAATATTCATTTTAATGTGTTGAAACTCCTCCTATATTGAAAACTTTAATTTGTCATTCTTCGATTCATTTTCATCTGATCTCTCTGAGGTGTTTTAATGATCACGAGTCATTTAGTTTAATAATTGAAAGTTCTGTAATATATCTTATCATAGAATGTAATTTAAATCCTCTCACCATTTTATTTCAGTATCATTAGAAATAATATGGCTCTAGAAAAATCTAGTCAATGTAAGAGAATTATAAATATCGTCCTGATTTTGAACGGCTTATCCTACAATAAGTTGCGACCATGGCTCTAATATTGTTCGGTCCCTTGCAAGTATATTGCTATTGAAAAAATTAGTTGTGAGTGTAATAAGCCTTTAAAGATGCTTTTTTATAAAATAAAATGACTTCTAGTCGTTTTACGACTGAACACCATTATTTTGTGTTCCAATGAAAAATTTGTAAAGTTGCAATTTACTAAAAGTTATCAAATGTTTGGTACAATCCCAGATTTGGATTCCTCTTGCAAAATTAAAAAGGAAATGTCTTATGCTCAGAGCCGACCACAGCCGAAATGGCAAAGTTAATAGAACCCAAAGGGGTAAAAGTGTGCCAAAACGACCAAATTGTCATTTTGGAGGGGAATAACTCCAAATTGAAAGTTCGAAGGGTGCGTTTTGTTCGTCTCAGCAAGGTACGACCCTGTAACCCTGTGGGTTACGGGCGAAAACTGCCGTCAGAATTGACCTCCGACGCACCGTTTGGCCGCGAGAGGCGATTTAACACTTTATTGAACATTTGAACATAACTCTGCCATTTCGATTCCGATCATCTTTGGGCATAAAACATTTTCGTTTTCTTTTGTCAAGATGAACCCGAAACATTAGTTACCTTTGCAAATTTCTCCCAAACCACATCCCCCGTCCGTCCCCTCCAGCTTACCTACGTAAGTAAACACGTAAACCATGCCAAATATCACTTTCGTTCCTTCTCATCGGACACTCGCGAAACTTCGCAGGCTAAGTTCCGCAACTCTAAAACTAAAACTAAAACACTCGGTTCGATTATCTGACATTTTAATCACTGCTGAGAAGGTATTAAAGTCTTCAGGTGAGCGCAGGAGCCACTTGCGCTCCCCCTCCCCTCGATTGCCGTGCTACCAACCTACTACCACCAAACTACGAATTCAAATTAAACGATCGCTTATTTCAAACATCTTCTATCAAACTTCTAAACTAAACTCGATACGACCGGAATTATGCTGATGCTTCGTGCGCAGTTTGAAGTCAATTGAAGTTGCCGTCTTTGAGAAACGTGTGTGATTTCAGATAGACAGACAGACAGACAGACACACAACCCTGCACCTCATGACAGCAAAGGCTTCGCTAACGCTCAGCCAAAAATTAGTTGTTAAAAACAGCTCATTTGTAGACCAACGGCTCAGTTGTTCGAGAACAACAGAAGTTGTTGAAAATAACTACGTTTGTTGCCAATGCATTGTTGATATTGGACTATTGGGCACCATTTTGTTTTTGATGACTTTTTTTATTACCGTTACCGGACAACTTTTGCTGTTATTTGACAAACGAAGCTGTTGTACAACAACACGAGTCAGTTAAAAACTTAACAACGAATTTGTTGTTATGTGACAACTTTTTTTTTTCACAGTGCATAACTACAGTAGTGAGCGGCCACCTGGTACAACCGCACTAACTTGCAACTTTACTTTGACATCTTCTCCACACACCTTTACATGCACCCTCGCTCCGCCAACAGGCTCTCGCCACGGCGGTGACCGGCCCGCTGCACCTGCCCGGGCTGCGCACCCGCGCGCGGGTCTACAGCCTCGGCAGCCTGGTCCTGCCCGTGTTGATTCAGTCGATGGCCATGTACGTCTTGCCCCAAGAGAGATTGTGGATGGTTCCCGCGATGTTGCACACCAACGCCTTCGTCGTGGTCAGCACCAGCTTCTGGCTCTGCTGCTGCAGCGCGCTCGGTGCTTTTGGATCTCTGGTCGCCGCCAGGATGCCAGCTGACCTGCAGGTAGGACGAGTCACGAGTCAAGGTTTTGGAATGTGTGTTGGAATGTGGGTGGTAATGTGCAAATGCAGGCGCTGGCGGCCCTGGCAAGGGGAACATGATGTTTTTTGCTGTACGTAAACAAACATGCAGAATTTTACGCAGCCATAAGTTTCTCCACAAATTTGTTCAAAACTGTGTACATCTTGTGCACAGTGGTGCATTTTTTATTATGGCCGAGTAAAATTATGCATGTTTCTGCACAACAAAATACATAAGGGTTTAGTGTGTAAGTATTGTCCACTGGCCCCTTTCTTTGTTTTGCTTAAATCGAACAGCAGCCCGCAGGTCTGCGGGAGGGGCTTGCCTGCGCTCACCACCCGCACACTTTGCACACGGCTGCACACGGACAATAACAACGTCTTGGTTTTCATTTCAAGCAGTTTTGGAAAAACCAAGATGGTTCCATGTGTTGGTTGACATGCTTGGCTGGTTGGTAACCCTCCGCCTGTTCAGCGCCTGGGCCCGCAAGGGCTGCGCGCGCACCGTCAGATCTGGCTGGCCCTGGCGCATCTCCTGACCCAGCTGGGCGTCGCGTGGGGTCGTCTCCAAACGCTGCTCCTCGCCGTCCTCTTCGTGTCCATCACTTCGATATCCTTTGTCATCACGGCATATGTGCTCCACGGCGTCTGGGACAAGCGATTGGTGTGGCTGGGTACGGTCGCGTTCTTCGTCGTCATATTCATCTTCAGCATCTGCAATGGAGCGCAGATTGCCACCGACGGGGTAGGCGCTCAGTCCAGCCCCAGACAGTGAGGCTTTCGAGACAGGTGTAACAGCCTCTGGTCTGAATCCCCCAGGTGCGCCTCGCGGCCGTCCGGCAGCTGCTCGCGCTGTCTGTGACACACAAGGACGAGCCTACCTGCCACGAAGTAAAACTCACTCATCTCCCTATGCCATTTACCTTTCACAAGCAAACCAGAACTGTTAACATCCGCGGTCTATTCTAAATTATCTGCTCATGGGTTTGCTTTTTCCAGATTATTTGCTTCTTAGACGACATTCGACTCGAGCGACATCACCTCACGATCTGCAAGCTAGGTGTCCTTAGCCGTGCGTCCCTGCTCTCGGTAGGACCACCACGTACCCTAAAGCAGGGGTCCGTAACTTAAGGGGTGTTGCTCTTTAAGCTGACCATTTTGGCACTTTTCAGAAAAAAAATTCTGGGGGCGTTAGATATTTGACCATTACCAATGTGTGAGTGAATTTTGTTTCACTTCATCTCATTTAACAAAGGAACAACATCAGAATGCACCTCCAGACCCATTTTCATTGTTTTGGCAGCCTGAACCTACAGGAAAGCTGTCGTCTATTTTAAAAGCTTGCGCGCAAGATTTCCCCGACAAATATTGGTTTAAAAATCTGCACTAAGGTTTTCCTGAATCAGAACGACAAGGACTATAAAATGACACAGGGGTTTTAGTATACTCCCTAAAATAAAAATATTTCATTTGGAATATAACAAAATTAAATTTAAGAAGTTTTAGTAAATTGTAAAATAAAATAGTTCAAGATTGCTTTACATATTATACTAAAACCCCTGTGTCATTTTATAGTCCTTGTCGCTCTGATTCAGGAAAACCTTAGTGCAGATTTTTAAACCAATATTTGTCGGGGGAATCTTGCGCGCAAGCTTCTAAAATAGACAACAGCTTTCCTGTAGGTTCAGGCTGCCAAGATCATGAAAATGGGTCTGGAGGTGCATGCTGATGTTGTTTCTTTGTTAAATGAGATGCAGTGAAACAATATTCACTCACACATTGGTAATAGTCATATGAATAAGGCCCAAGAATTTTTTTTTCTGAAAAATGCCAAAATGGTCAGCTTAAAGAGCAACACCCCTTACCATAACAAATATGATTGGTTAGTTAAATGTTTTAACAAAATCGCAAATAAAATTTTACGTTAAGTTAGATAACGTAACCGATTAGTAATGAGCCATTTAGCCGAAACGAAATCGTAAGGAAGAACATAAAGATGGCCGCCGTAGAGCCAAACAAACCTTCAACTGTGTGTTAACTCATCTGCTGTAGATGCAACAAAAATGTTCTGTAATTAACAACAACGCCCTAAAATATTGAGAAAATGTTGAAATTTGACGAAAACATTTTATTAGATGTAGTTTGCTCCAGTTTGCTCTCAGCGAAAGCAGACGAATTTACAAACAGTTGAATGTTTGATTGGCTCCACGGCGGCCATCTTGATGTTCTTCCTTAGGATTTCGTTTCGGCTAAATGGCTCATTTGTTGTTCCCTTGAAGTTTTAGATGTAACCAATACCTTTAACGTTAAAAGCGACTTTTGTTTAGGGGTCGTCCACATATTACGTCACGCGCTTAGG